AAGTCTCTGAAAAACTGTTATCTCTTTTCCCCAGTTTCATCCCCCCACCCGCTTCTAATCTCCCCCATCTAATGTACAGAGCACATGGGGTGTGTGCTGCTTCCTAGCATGAAAATATTTTGACTTTTCTGAATTCCAGTGATTTCATAGAGCCACTTTTCAATAATCTCCTCCCAAAGTTGCTTAGTACATAACAGCAGCCAAACTGTATGGCAAAACAATTCACTGTAATGTTCTTCTGATGTCGGGAATTCTTCATATCACTTATTGAGCATTTTCTTTAGATTACACCTAGACCTGTTCTCATAGTTTCTACTCACTGCAGCTTCACCTCAGCTACTGGCCCTTTGTTTTTTCCAGATGCTTCTCCCTTTTTTTTACTTTCTTTTTCCATCTATTTATGATACTTACCAGCATCCCCAGCTTACTGGGGAAGAGTTTGATTTCAAAGGTGGTGAACAAAACTTGGACAAACAACCTCTAGATAACATCTCTGGTGAGGACGTTGGAACAGGCAAGGGATATTTATCTTTCTTGAGGAGCTTCCTGTGATCTGGGGAGGATCCAAGAGCATAGGGCTGTGGATTTCCTCTGGTTCAAAAGGATGATGGTAGCAGAGGCTCTCTGCCCTCCCCAAGAGGAGGAAACAGCTGCCTGAGTGGTTCTTTGAGATGGTTGAGAAAGGGAAGCTGGGATGCTTTGGGCCCTTCAAGACTGCAGAGAAAACTTTTCTTGACGAAATGATCCTGTCTCGATACACCAGGGCTATTCAATCTGTGTTCATTAAAATCCACTTTCCATCACACTAAATTGCATAGGCTCCAGATGATGTACTCTACATGGATTTATGGTGGACTAAAACACTACGCACTGCTGAAATACAACATGCACTGCACTTCTGTTAAACATAATAGTGCAATGAATAGAGATTGGACAATTTTTCACCCATGAAAGCTATACAGTGTTTGCTGGCTTATTTTTAGTCTTGTATAAATAAAGTTTTGCAGGAGGTCCCTAAGATTTTTTTATTGTTGGAAAGCAGGTCCTTCCTTTGGCTCTCCTTCTCCTATGGGAGTAGATGTGTAACTTGAGGGAGTGCTGTGAGCTGCCTGGTGGCACAGGAGGCACTGCAGGAGAAAGCTCCCACTGGGTGACAAGTGGTCTCGGAGCCAGGAGGCAGCAAACACTTGGGCAGGTAGGAGCTCAGGCCCAAGGTAGCATGTTCACCACAGGAGCACTTTAACACTGCTGGCCAGCAAAACTGAGTGCCTGTCAGAAGGAGGCACAAATCTCAGCAACAGTGGTGCCGGCAGTTATTTATTTCCCATTCTTGCACAATGAGCTGAGGAGGACACCCCTTGGTGTTCAAAACACCAAGAGGAAGGCACAACATGGCTTGGCTGTTATGATGCTCATTTCTTTCTTGAAAATCAAAGTAAATGAGTGTAAAGAGGACACTGGACACCGACATGCAATAGCTTCAGGCAGCAGCACAGGTCTTTTTTCTACTCAGATTCCAATAAAAAATTATTAATTTTTATCAGCATGGCTTATTAATAGTTCTACAGTACTCCTCTTCTATACTGCTTCTTTTTTCCTTTCTCATTCAAAAATACTTGCTTTAGTCACTAATCATACCATTAAGAGATCATTAAAGAATTAGAAAATGACTGTAGAAAAATGACCACCACATATTCTTCCAAAATATTTGATTTGCGCTTTCGTAGCAACCTTATGCTTTCAACATTTCAGAAGATACAAGACCAACATTACAAAAAAGGTGTTTGAAATATGACAGTTGAAAAAAACAGTGTACATGAAATGTATGTTGCAGCACTGTGGCCGGTGGGATGCTTTGTTGAAATAAGAGAAGGTAAGTAGGCACTTACCTTTTTTTTTAGACTATTTTGCCTAATCCATTGTAGTTGCTAAATTATTTTCAACAGCACAGTCTGTGAGTAATTCAACCTTTGTAATTTGTTTTCTATCTGAGAAGATGCAGGATTGCTATCTAGTTATCTCACATTCAGCTGAAACACTTGTGCAGATGAGTTTTTGCAAGGAAACACAAAATCCAATAGCACCCACAGAAGTATTGTAACACTGATGACCAGCCTCTGATGAGCCCAGTGACCCTTTCCTGCACATATTCTTCATGTATGTATGGCTCCAGGGGTCTTAGCCCCAACCATACTGTTGCTATAAGACTCACATCCTCACAAGCACCTGCTGCTTAACTCTTGAAGATGTCAGTGGGAGTTAGGCTCATAAATACTTTCTGAGCATCCTGGAAAATGTTACATTGGCTTGATCCAATTAAGTGAAAACACAGCATCTTTAAAAAGCCTTCCAATTTTAAAAGGGCAAGACAGATGAATGGTATTTTTCCCAGAATACAGAAAGGAAAAGAGAGTAATGAGATTTAATTAGTGTCCCTGTGCTCCTATGATCATTTACAAGTCAAAGGGGCATACATCTTTGGACAACGCTCTCAGGCACATGGTGTAACTCTTGGGGCTGTCCTGAGCAGGGCCAGGAGTTGGACTTTGATGATCCTTGTGAGTCCCTATCCAATATAAGGATATTCTATGATTCTGTGATTTGCATTTTGGGGGCTCTTCCCCTGTCTGGCTGCACCTCTGCTCACATACTTTCCAGGCTGGCATGGGGGGTCCTAGAGTGACATAAGCCGAGAGGGTCTGCCAGGTGCCACACATCTCTTTTTTTCCCCCACTGCAGGCCATCCTTATCAGCAAAGTGGGGAAGGAGAGCATTTTGTACACCTGGGAGTCTTGGAGCTGGAAAGGGAAAAGACAAGTGGGGTGCCAGAAAAGAAATCCCTTGTTCCTACAGAAGTAAGAGAGGGGCAGGAGATAAGACTCTCCTCCACCACCTCATGCCATATCATCTCTCATGAGGAAGCTCCCCAAGGAGATAAGACCGGTGGGAGCAGGGGGTGAAGGGAAGGAGGCATTAGTGATAGGAGGGAGAAGAAATAGTCTCTGCCACACAGAGTTCACTGGACCTGTGCTGAGAAGGGTTAACCCTGTCATGCTGCTGTTGATGACAAGAAATGTTTTTTTGTTATCATGGTATGTCAGATTCAAGTGGTATCACCCATGACTTGCACGCAAGATTGCAGAAGGAAGGGAAGCTGAGTGCAGGTCACATTCATGGTTCAGCACAGCTCTTCAAAACAGTGTGTTTCATTTTTGCTAGGAGGGGAAACTCACACTTTGCTGACACCACTTCCCACTAAAGTGATTCTAAGCTAAACCGGAAAATTTGTACACAGCCCTCTGACAAAGAAAAGCAAATCATGTCTCAGAGAAAGAATAAAGATATACAGCAAAACTCAATGACCCTAGGAAATAAAGAAGCTCTTTCATGAAGACCTAAACTTGACCCACATGGGTGGGTGAACCTGGGTTTTCTGAGGGGTGGGGGCTCTGGTTTGGGGTGTTATTTCATTATCTTTCTCCTGTTTTATAAAAGCAGTAGAATCTGAGTGCCTTGGGGATGTCTCTCACGTGGCCAGACTTGGTCCAAAGTGGGCAATGTGTTCAGCGGTTGTGGGAGGGTGGGGATGGCAGATGACAGGACAGAGAGGGTGGCATGATCCAAGCTCCTGTCTTTAGAAAACCTGGTTGAAATATCGACAGTATTGGAGGAGCTTGCTGGGACTATGCTTTGTGGCCTCCTGCACATTCAAGCACAGCAAGGAAAATCATATTCTCAGTCCAGTTTTGGACTGATGGAAAAGATAATCAGAATCCTTGTTTCATTTTCAGGACCCTCTTCTCAAGTTCATTTCCTTCCTGACCCCTCCGCTGCTACTTCATACATTACCCTTGGTCTCAGCTCTTTATCCTCTGCAAGAACCAACTACTCCCACTCATGGCAGTAATTCCCACACTGAGAGGTACGGAGCTGGAGCATCCCAGCCAGAACTGACCCCTGAAGCTGGGGGCATCTGTGCCAAAGGCCTCTGCTGCAGCCACAGGCTGACCCACCACTAAGGGTCAGCCAGCATTACCCCAAGCATGTGGCTCCAGCAGCCTCACCACAAACACAGTCATAGGTGTAAGTTTTGCTGTGCCAGAGTGCATATCCCGGCGGGCCAGCAGACACTGTCTGGGCACAGCTGACCACCTCACCACTTCTGTCCCTGACAGAAGCCAGAAGATAAAGGGCCATTGTGTACGTCTCAAATTCCAATAGCTGGATGGCTGTGGAGGCAACCAGGGATCGTTGGTAATAAGGATTATCGGTAGTAACGCTCCGTCAGAAAGAACATACCCTCACCAAGTCCAGGAGGCACCTCCAGAACTCCAAACATCCCATCACTGGAACCAGGACTGGTGATTTCCTTCTTTCCTTCCTTCCTTTTTTTCCTCTCTTTCTTTTTCCTTCTTTCTTCCTATCTTTCTTTCCTTTCTTTTTCTTTTCCTTCCTTCCTTCGTTCCTTCTTTATTTCTTTCCCTCTCTCCCTTTTCAATTCATCCCTTTCCTTCTCTCTTCCCTTTCACCCTAACCCTCTATCCAAAGCCCACCGCCGTCTGCTTAGATAGCAGCTCAGCGGCACATCAATCTCCATTCCAAGTGGGTAATTTACTAAAAAAATTGCGGTTTTTTTGCGGACCCTCTGACTTCTGTCGTTCCTTTCCAGCACGAGCATTTACGGATCCTGGTTATTCCCTTCCCCTTAAGGGCGGTTAGTCACAGGCAGCTGCGGCGGACGCAAGCCCTCCTGCCCTGCCCGGCCCGTGGGTTGGTTGCCCTGGAGCAGCGGGGAGAGGCGGGAGCGGTCCCGATGTCCCCCGGCCGGGGCGACAGTGATGCCGACATTCCCGGCGTTCCCGCCAGGAACGTCCCCGGCCAGCCGCTGCGCACGCCCCGCCCCCGCGGTGACGTCATGAGCGTGCACGTGGGGAAGGGGGCGTGGTCATGGGACCGCCCCCACCGTGGCCAATGGGAGCCTGGGGGCGTGGCCTCGGCGGTGGCGATGGCGGCGGTGTGGCGGGCGCTTTGCCGGGCCGGGCCGCGCGCGGGGAGGCGGAGACTGTGAGTGACGCGGGAGCGCGCGCGGCGGGCGGGGCCGGCGGACCCCCGGACCGCCCCCTCCCCCTTCCCGGCGGCAGGCGGCGCTTGGGGGTCTCCCCCCGACATCCCCCGAAAGCCGAGGGGCCCGGGGCGGGGGGGCAGCAGGGCCCGAGGACGCCTCCCCGAGGACTGGGGGGCGGCGGCGACTCCCCACAGCCGGAGCCCCGGGGGCTGCTGGCGGAGGACTTGGCGCTCGGGCACGGGGAACGTAGGAATGGAAATCTGCTTCCTGGTGTGAACAGTGTCCCTGCCCACGGCAGGGGGGTTGGGACGAGGTGGTCTTTAAGGTCCCTTCTAACCCAAACCATACTGTGGTTCATCCAGCTACACAAAATCCCCGTGCCTGGTTGTCTGCTTTGGTGCAGCTCCTACATGGGAACTGACCTGGGTCTTTCCCTTTCCTGCAACCAGCCTTGGATTATAGTGGGCTCCACATGGCTACCGTGCCCCATTTTCCGCAGGGGAAAGCGAGGGACCAGACGGGCTGGATCCACACAGTTGGCTTTCCCCTTTCCTTAAGAGCATCCTCTATCAATCCCCCGCTCTAGATGGAGCTGAGGATTGCTGAGGATTGGTTGTGGTTTGGGCAGAAGCGAGGCTGTCCCAAGCCCCCTCAGCATCCCTCATACTGGCCTTTGGGAGACCTTTGGGAGTCCGGAGCGGTGCTGAGACCCTGTGCTCCTGCCATGGCAGTGGTTGGATGAGGGAGGGGTTTGTAGGCAACACATCTGCTTGTCAAGGGACCAAAATCACCAGGTGCTTTCCTACGAGTGGGTGAACAGATGTCAGGGCTTGGACTTTCTGCAGGATGCTAGGAAAACTGTACTGTAAATACTGGATCCCCATGCCAGACAGTTTGCAAGATCAGGCTCTGAGTGCTGTATGCTGTGTAAGATGAAGGCTTCACCACACCTTCCTCCTGGAGATCTGTGTAGGTTTGATGTCCAGCTTTCTGCCTGCAGGTGTGGGCCTGCATGTTCCCTGTAGACAGAGAATGACTTCTGCCAGAGTGAGTGATTTAAGGGAAGTTTTCAACAGCACTTAGAGCACTTTTTTTTGTTAATACTGATGTCAGGAAGGCAATCAAGTGAAGCTTTAAATTCTTGCAGTCTCTGCTGAGACCACAATACTGTAAATATTTCATAGTTGAGTGACAAAAGCCTAAGCAGTCTATAATAACTGTAACATAGATGTTACCGGGAACATGCAATATTGATGCTGGTGTTCCTGGAGAACCTCAGGGACAGTTGGAATGCCTTGTGTTCTGCTAGAAGCAGCGTGAAGAGCCCAGAAAATCCACGTCAGCCATTCCTGCCCACTATGTCCTGCATAGTTCCCAGCATATCTCCTTTAGCACAAGATCCAGCCAGTTTCTGAAGACAATGCATGCATGTACATGCCTTTTTCTTTCTTACTTTCCCCCTTTTTTTCCCCCTACATTAGTGCAGAATCAGAAATACTATGCCTTGATATTTCTGACTATGAGGAATTTTGAATATTTATACTGTGAGGAGGAGTCTACACAGTGTGAGGGCGATTGGATGATCACGTTTATATGTTCATAGCACCTGTTTAGGGCTGGCAGAGGAGGCTGACTGCATGCCCATGGTGAGGCTGCTCTCTTCCAGCTGTGGTCAGAGGGAGCTTCCTTGTCTGGTGGTGCTAAGGAATCACAATCCCACTGCTAGACTCGCAGAAGAAGTTATGGCCTCCCTGTGTTGCCCCTTGTCATCAATGCTTCTGTGGAGCGCAAGATGCCACTGGGCAGGTGGAGACCACAGAATTTTGGGCATTCAAACAGCAGAGACCAGGGCAGGATGAGGCATGAGGAGTCCTTGCTTACCTTTAAGCTAGGCATCCATGTGGCTGTGTGCAGTGGGGAGAGAAAATACAGGAACAACTTCAAATGTCAGCAATAGCTGAACATGTTGGTTGGATTTAATTAGCAGCTTCCTGATCTTTAGCAGGAATTGGCAGGTGCCACTGTGTCCAGACGGTGGTGCCTGGGTCCTACAGTGCTCACTGCCATGTTGGGCTGGGACCCTAATTATAGCAGGTACCTCCAATGTAGTGCAGCTGCCCTTTCCAGCCACTGCCATTCTCTCTTCACTTGGATGTTGCTGCCCCTGTGAAATTGCTGGGCAGTGCTGCCCTGAAAATGTGGACCAAGTATTTATGTCATTATCAGGCAGGTGCAGCGTATGGTGCCCAGAGCTGTTTTTGATTATTTGCAATGTTCCAGAGCCTACTGAAAGGCTCTCCCTGCCTGTGAAAGATTTTTGTCGTGTTGGAAAAAGTTAAAAATCCTGCTGGTTTTTTAACTTTAACCATCAGCTGTTTTTTAATAACAAATGCAGCTGGTTTTTTCTGTTGTTGTCAAGAGCTTCCAATGTGTTTTTAAAGACAATGTAAACATTAACTATGAAAAATTCCTTGCTGACAGATCTTTGTGAAGGATTCTCTCTTTGCTTGGCAATTATGCTGCAAGAGAAGAGCATTGCACATGTAAGCATGATCACCTGTGTGCCCTCAGCAAGCCAAGGGCACTTCTGCTACACCCATGTACAAGAGGGGTTTTTACAGGTATTCATTTACATGGCATATTCCAGGCAGATCCATATCCACATGCCTGTACTAAATCTATCAAAAACGGTGTCCACATCTCAGTGGAACACTACAGAGTATGGAATATACAGTGTGGGCACATAGAGTGTGTTGATACCAGCATGCCTGCTAGGAACAAAGGAGCCTGAAAAGAGTAATAACCCCCTGTCAGATCTTGTTTAGGGACTGCGCCAGTGTCATTTAAAATTTCTATCATTGGGAGTTTCTTCTCTCATCCCTGATTGCCATCTTCCCTCTGAGGAATCCACCACTTCTCTTTCTTGTGTTTCATGCTCCAAGTTTTGTGTCTGCTTGGCAAATTAGTGAAGACATTTTTCATGGGTTGGACACTGGAGGGTGCTAATGCAATGGGAGCTGAAATTGTTCTAGCAAATTAAAGGGTACCCCTTTGTTACTTGTGAAATACTTTTATTTTTTGTTGAAACGTTTAAATGGAAAGACATGAATCGTGGTCCTTACCAGTAGCTGATCCTGCTCGGTGTGTGTAGAGCTATGACAAAGAATATCAATAAAGTGATGTGTATGTGAGGCATTTCTTCCCTGAACCTCTATCAAAAAAATCACTCATTTTATGTTCTACACATTTTTAAGTGTGTCTTTTGAGATTATGGCCTCGGGGTGAAAATTATGTGGAAGTGTGACTTTCTAGTGATAAAACCACTTTATCTGGGAGAATTGTTGAGATGTTTCTACACAATCTGCTTTTCTACAAGGTCACTTTGGTTCACCTAAACTAATACTGTCGGATTGCTAGTGAGGTGAGAACCTGATAGTAGCTCACACTGGGGAGGGAGGGGACACCCTGAACACTGCTAATCAAGTCCCTGGCGTTGTGATCCTCTCTCTGGAGATGTTCCTGATGGAGCCTCAGTTTACCTTTCAACCACCATTGCTAGGCCATGTGTGAGGGAGCGTGCAGGATGGAGCCTTTCATCAGCCACTGCTGCTAGGGCAGGCACAGCACATTACAAAACTGAGCCCTAGCTCTGGTGTTTCAAATTCGCTCAAACAGTTTTGGCAGGTTAAAATTACACTGGGAGGACTTACAGCAAAGGAGGTATTACCTGTTTGCTCTGCTCCACCTTTCTGCTGAACCAGGTCTCTGCTCTCCTCTGCCCTTGGCAGAAAGGCATGGGAGCAAAATAAGCTCCCCATTGTGCACTCTGGCAACTCCATACTCAGCTTTAAGGACTGTGAAACTACTACCTGAGCCAGTTTTCATCCTGGCAGCAGCAGAGGTATGATGATGGGTAATTAATGCTAATGAGAAGCAGGGTGCAAAGCTGAGCATGTCCAGCCAATCACCACTGGCACCCCAACTAGTCTGCTTAAAGCTTACGCTGTTCTGGACAGTCCTGCATGGTCCTACCTTTGCAAACTCATTGCCCAAATGAAAGTTGGTATTTGTAAAATACGGGAGCAAAACAGAATTGGCTACAAATACATTTTGCTTAGAAGCCTTTCTTGTTCAGTATGCGTGGGAAATGCATTACTCCTCTATCTCATTCCTTTTGCAAATGGATTGCACTGTCCTCTCCTGGGAAATGTTTTTATCTTGCTGTATGATATTGGCCAGGTTTTGTTCTCTCCCAGGTGTTGCAGTTTGCTTACATATGGCTGCTTCAATTTTTATTTCTTTTAAAAATATACCTTTTTTTTCTGAATTCTTCCTTAAACCGAAGATGTGTAGGAGCATTGGAGAAAGAACCTGTGGATGAGAAAACCAGAATCTCATGTTCTGATACCAGTGGAGACCTGCTGTTCATCTTGCAAACAGAAGCATGGACAGTTTCACAGCAAAGTTGCTTAGGTGTTTATCAGAAGCAGCAAAAACATGTCCAACTGAAAGTTTACACTTCTATTGCAAAGAGTTTTAGTACCTTACCAGAATAGGGTTATAAGGAAATGTGAGCCGAAAAGCTTTTAAAAATCATTGTAATAAGTGGTGGTATTGAAGACACTCGGCTTAAGGGGAGACAATGTATTTATTCTAAGCAAACAAAAAGAGATCTGCTTGACAGTGTGTTCATCTCGTTTACCAGCTTCTAAGAGAGGTCTGCTTCTTCCATCACACCTCCACACTTGCAAGCAGAGAGCCAGGCCACACATCCTGGTGTCATTTCAAGAATGGACATACTAGCTGTGGTGCCAAAAGGATTTGAATTTGTGCATTTTATGTAGGTGGTGCCCTAATTTATCCTGGGAGACCTTTCTCTGTGAGAGAGGCTTAACAGACCTTCCACCAAACCTGTGTGTGTGATTGCATTGAGTTAAACACTGCCAACTGCAGGATGGCATCTTGAGGTCCAATGCCACCCCTGCGTGGTGGCCCTGTA